AAAAACAAACTGTTCATGGCAGATTCGTACTTTGAGGATTTGAATACACCGTTGTAATTGAAACACTTAAAAGAATTTAGTTTTAAAAACAGGTCCGGCGTTCAATTCGCCGATGTTCTTAGTTTTTTTGGCTTTTTTGGGTCATTTCCAGGTGTTCCAGAGTACCAGGATTCTAGTAAATAGTTTTTACAAACAAAAAGTTTATTTCTGACATTAAAAAAAATTTAGCTATTCCGGAAACAGAACTTTTTTTTAAAACTTTTTATTTCCGGTTTCGATTTTGTTAAAAAAACATTTGTTAAAGCACACCCTTTTTGGGTTTTTTCCAGGTGTTTCAACCCGTCAGAACTCTTTTTTGTCCACCCCTGCACCACAGGACTTTTGCCTGATAAGCTAAAAAGGCCATTGGTCAATGGCAGTGCCAGAAGATGATTAAGTTGATAAACAAATTGTTAGTTTTAAGTTATTTATTTACAGGTGGGCGACAGCAAAAGAAAAGGGTATGGAAATAGAAAGAAAGAAAAAGAGAGACTGTTGAATAAAGACGGCAGTGGAAGTGTTACTGATGATGCACTTTTTGAAGATGCTTTCTGAGTTGCTGTTTTAATTTAAACGTTTTCTCACAAATGGAGCACTGAAATGGTCGAGAGTCGCTGTGAACTGTTTGGTGCTCCGTGAGATGACCTTTTCGCCTAAATAATTTGGAGCATGTTGGGCACTTGTGCGATTTAATGTTTGTGTGAACAAGTTGGTGTACTTTGAGATTACCCTTCTGCCCAAATGATGTGGAGCATGTTGGGCACTTGTGAGCTCGAATTCCAGTGTGCACTGTGAGCAGGTGCGTCTTAAGATCAAATGGACGATTAAAGCTTCTGTCGCACTGCTGACACTTGTGGTTTTTAGCTCGCTTTTGACGACGATTCAGCTGTTGTTTATCTGATGCACTGCTCGAGCTTATGGTGACCACTGGTTCGGTGTTTTGCTGAGATTCTGTTGAATGAAAAGTGTAAGTTAAAATATAAAATGAATGTAAACAAACAACTCACCACTGACTGAATGATCCTCATTAATTTCAGTGGCATCCGAATCAGTCTCAAAAGCTTCGTTGACCCTCACTGTTTCACTTGTTTCATTGGCATTTGTTTCAGCAGAAAAATCCTGTTCCATAATCGCATGAAACTCATCGTCGAACATATCAATTGCAGATTCACTCTGCTCTTCAGTTTTCACGACTGTTTCAGTTGACTGCAATTCTGAATAGAAGTAACATGAGTAAAGTGTAAGAAAAACATTCTACTTACCACTGCCTGCTGATTGTTCAACACTTTCCACAGCATCAAAATCAGTCTCTGAATCTTCCTCTTCTTTCACTTGTACTTCCTCATTTTCACCTTCTTCACAGTCAAACTCGTCGTACATATCAT